GTGGAACACTACCAGGCTGGGTGAGGACCCGTCCACCCGGGGGCATCTGGCAGCTGGGTCATGCTGGGGTGTGTGGGGGGGGAGCTGTGACAGGAAATGATTGATTCTGTGGCCAACATCAGGAGACAAGGATGTGCCCTCCAACACCCTGTGTTCTTTTAATGACCCATTAGAAATCTGCCACCCTTCACTTTAAATCTTTCTGAGGCTAATTTTACTTTTAGCAAGTAGGACCCGAGTTCAATGATTTTACAACCTTCCTCCTGGGCTCCCCACCTGGAGGACCCAGAGCCAGGGCTTCGCTAGATGCTCCGCCCACGGCTTCTCCCTTCTCCTGGGCATTTTTGGCAGGATCAGAGTCACTGGGAAAGTGTTACGACCCCCGTGATTCATGTCCCTCATACACATGCTCTCCTGTTCTCTGTCATTTTTTTGCTGTCTGTTCTTGAAAATTCTTATCTGCAGGATAGTTTTAGGACTATTGTTTTACTTGGAGAATCCACATAAATAAAAAATCGAGACAGTTCCGGTGGATTTTGTGTCTGACTTTTTGTTTCTCTTGGGATTACTTATTTAACTTTTTTGGGGGTGGGGGTGGATACCAGGATTGAACTCAGGGGCATTCGACCCCTGAGCCACATCCCCAGCCCTGTTTTGTATTTTATTTAGAGACAGGGTCTCACTGAGTTGCTTAGCACTTTGCCATTGCTGAGGGCTGGCTTTGAACTCGCGATCCTCCTTTCTCAGCCTCCTGAGCTGCTGGGATTACAGACGTGTGTTAGGGTCTGTAAACAAGTCGGGATGGCGCCTGGCATTTTGCCAGAGGGAGTGGTTTGTGAGGTGGCGCCAGTGAGCCATTAAGTGTGGAGATTCCTTATTGGTTGACTGCTGTATCGAGTTTATGTTAATGAAGATCAGCTGTGTGGAATGTATATCTACCCCTCCTGTCCTACAATAAACGGCTCCCACTCCTGCTGCATCAATGTACACAAGTTGTTTGTCACCCCCYGGGTTATTTTGCTGCAGCCGGACTGCGGCAGGCGTGCACCACCATGCCAGCTTACTTATTTGATTTTGAAGGTCTCAAAAACAATGCTACAGTCAACCTGGAACTTCCCTCCTCTGCTAACAGCTCTGGGTTCTGTACATGGAGAGTAATGTCTAGCGCTTCTATAAACTAGAAAGACCACCAAGACCTAGATTTCACCTACCCCAACCTCTTCTTTCTATGTCATTGACTCTCTGACTGTATCTGCCCTTCCTGGGAAAGCCATGCTTCMTATGTCTCCATGCCTCTGGTCCCACTGTTCCCTTCACATAGAGTCACTCTGGCCACCTGTCAATGGTTCAAAGTCCGACTTCTCCATGAAGTCCCACGGCAGATTCTTCCACCTCCCGTAAGTCAGCCCTTGAACTATGATCTCATGCACCACTGCTCACACCTTTACTTTAATGGGTCYTGGAATTCAGCATGATTATTTATTTACAGTCCTTTCTTCCTATGTAGACCATCAGTTCTTCCAGAGCAGGGACCATGTCTTCTTATGTATAGCAAACTAGCACGCTCTGGACGCGAGGAGTAATGGGCTAATGTTTGTTATGATCATGAATGAGTGGGAGGACAAATGATGGAATGTTAGGGTACGAGGACTCTTGGGATAAGCTGGCTCCCTCACACACACAGCACACTCACAAAGATTGTGCATATCCTAACATAATACATACACATCCTACACATATGCACAACCAGGTAAACCCAGAGAGCTAGACAGAAGCTAAATAAAACCTCAGGTGCAACGCCTCTGCCACACAGAACCATCCATTTATTTGTACCATTTTTATTCAYGTCCTTGATCAATTTTCATCCTCGTCTGAAAGTCCCAAATGCTTATTGCCATTTTTCTCCTGGTATAGCAACCTCGATTTTTCACGAAGGAATCTGTTTTAACTATTACTAGCCTAGGATTTGGTTGTTCTACCTCAACAGGATGTTCAGCTATCTGAATGTATGCAGTGTCAGAATACTAAAGAAAAATYATCAATACCCCCACACCGGCTGCTTACCTTCACCCTCTGGAACATTAAATAAAATTTTCAGGAAAATCAGGCCTCCCATTGATTTTTCCATAATACCCCAATACGTATCATTATTTGGCAATCTGTCAGGCAGTTTTCAATTTCAGTGACAGTCTCTGCATTCAAACCAATTTCTATTAATTTTGTGAAAATCATTTAAAGAAACATGGCAGCAGATCCCTGATTTAAATCAAGATGCATGGCATCTTCTACTTTTCACTTTTCTTGTCATTTGAGGAGGAAAAAAAAAAAAAACAAACCGCTGTCATTTGTCTGGTGCTGTTTTATAAACATAAACCCAGGCTCCTTATCACTCCTGGCTCCATTATCCTCAGGAGAGTCACGGCTTTCCTTTCCTCCTAACAGTKGCTCCATTATTTTATTAGTGTCCAAAATGAGACCTTGTAGACAGTGGCAATCATAGAATAATGGAAATTAGAGATGGAAATGACAGATTAGGTCTCCTTGCCTGTTTCCTGGGGCCAATGTTCCTGTCAGTCTGTAGTTTGGTGCTTTAGCCCATCTTGTTCTAAAGGACACCAGTGCTGGGTCCCCACTGTTCCCTGAGGCCCTTGTCTACATCCTAAGACTGTCTCTACACACAGCCCGAGGGAATGATGCAGCCACTATCAAGGGAAGTCAGACCCATCCTGCACGATCTGTCTACCAGGCCAGGGATGTGGAGGCTTGAGCCTTAACCACCCAATCCAATCACTGAAGAGAGACAGACTGGGGCACTTAGGGCAAAAGCGAAATGACATTTTGTAGTTGTTTGCTTCAGCAGCAAGTTTGCAGGCGAGGAGAGAGGGAGAGGCGGTATCCATCACCCTTTATAACACGGTACTCAATGAAAACCAGTTAACGGCCCTCCTCAGCCATCACATTAGCGACAGTGCGGCTCCGCAGCAACTGTACAAACGTGAATTTCAGGGGTTCAGAGAGGTAGGCGACTCTGCAGATTTGAAATAGCRAACAGCTCTCCTTTCCATACCACACTTGACATCTTTTGGCCAAGGCCTCTGGCTTCTCACCAATGCTTTAATCCTAACAGAGCACTCCGAGGGTACTGGCCCTTCTTACGAACACCTTCCTCTGAATTTTGTGGCCTCTCTGATCTCAAATCCAGTCAAAGCTGAGCAACCCTCCATTTTCACTAATAGAAAAATTCACGGCATTCTGACTTGCCCAAGTTTCCTGACCTGTGACTCCGATTTCCTTCCCCTAACTTCATTTCCCCTTGTCCTCATCCCTCCACTTCAACCTGTTCCAGAACATTTGCCCTCCTCTAGCGCCTGTGGGCATCTATCACACCTTGACTAGTCATCGCAGGCCGAGTCCWCAGAGCTGAGTTCTTCTATCCCCTTATCATAAATCACTCCCTGGGGCTCTTCAATCATTTTTATTGCTCTTCTCCAAACCCTCACCCATTTGTCACCATATTTATTGCTTTGAGAGTCCAGAACTACACTCAGTATTCTAGGTTTCATCTCATCAAACTCATACAGAGGGGCTGACCATCGACCTCAGGGACGGGCGTCCTCCGTGGCAGTGTTCGAAATGAGATGGGCCAAGCTTTCCCACCTTGTGGGGCTGCAGAGGCATATCTAACTTGCTGTCCAAGTAGACACTCCAAGATGCCATTTGCCTACATTTCCTTCTTGTTTTCCCTGTTCCATTGATTTCTACTATTAGCATTTATCGATTCCTTCCCCTCCCCCCACTACTCAGCTAATGCAGAAAGCAGGCCCTCAGCATCCAAAATGAGGTACAAATTTGCTTTTAAAAAGCATTATGAGACATATAGTGGCTTTAGAGCAGTGTGGATATACTTAATTCCACAGAATTGCACACTTCAGAAATTACTAAAATGGTAAATTTGATGTTATGTATGTCATCACAATGTCAGTATTAAAGCATGTAAAAAAAAAATAAAAAGCACTACCAGACAGGGTGGCACAGGCCTGAAATCCCAGTGGCTCAGGAGGGTGAGGCAGGAGGATCCTGAGTTCAAATTGAGCCTCGGCAACTTAGTGAGGCCCTAAGCAACTCAGTGAGACCCTGTCTCGAAATAAAATACACAAAAAAKGGCTGGGGATGTGGCTCAGGGGTTAAGCTCCCCTGGTTTCAATCCCTGATACCAAAATAAAAACAAAAAATAAACCTTGCCAGACACGGTGGTGCACACCTGTAATCCCAGCAACTCAGGAGAATGAGGGAGGATGGCAAGCTCAGCAAGGCTCTTCTAYAAAATAAGAAATAGAAAAGACTGGAGTTGTAGCTCAGTGGGAGAGCACCCCTTGGTTCAATYCCCCYGTACTGCATTAAAAAGATAAGCAAATAAGTAAATAAATAAATGAAGTACCAGGTGACTTCCTTGTCCCAGCCATGAGAGCTTTGGGGAGAGCAACGGTCCCACAGGGAAGTAGAACTGGGCACCTGGACAAAATAGGCTTGATCACTCCAGAGCACACAGCGAGCGTTGCACATCACCCCTGCTCACGGAGCTGGGGAAACAGGTCTCCACTCATGGCGGTCTGCGAAGCTCATCAAGCTCCAAGAGTGTGACACTGCAGTCTGTGTGGCTTCGTGTGTCTCCCAYTGAATCACCAGCTAAGCTCAGCCTCTGGAATCCTCGTGGCCAGAAGCAGTGTGAAAGGGGAGAGGGCCAACCTAGGGTCCAGATTGCAGCTGGCTGCTGCAGGCTGCAAATTGGAACCATCATCCTGACTCGTAAATGGATAAAAGGTGATGAAAGCCGTGGGATGGTATAAATATGGAAAGGCACAGTGAGTTTTTACCCATCCACTGTTCAGAGTATAACCCCCCCCCTCCCATTAGCTCTGTTCCCTCCACAGAGTGGATCCTTGGCCTGCGAAAGGCAGCAGAGATATAGGAACCTGCCCACTGGTCATCCGCTCACTTACCCCTGGTTTGTCCCCCATTCATTCCGAATGCAAAGGTGCTTATGGACTGGATCCTTCATGTACCCTTCGTAGCAGAGGCACTCGCCTTAGCAGCAGGGCAGGGAGGAAAAGAGAGAAACACAAGTGAACGGGTTAACGCGTCTGTGCTGGAGAAAAGTCGTATGAAGTGGTCAGGTGCATGAAGGAGGCAATACATCTCCTCGAGTCATGTATTTCCCCCAGGAATGAAGACACCATCCGTCTCTCCATTTTCTCTCCCACAGGAACCCCCGAGTCTGCAAAGCACCTTTCTATGTGCTTTGTGAGTGCAATGACCAAGGACCCCTGGGGGAAGAGATGTTCTTCTTCATTGTCTCAATGTCAATACTTCAGGGACTTACTAGGTGATGGATAAATGTGTAAAGATGGCATATGCAAATATTTCTGAGAATCTTTTAATGTAGGTATTATTAGCTCTTATGCTGAAGGGAGAAACTGAGGCGTAGAACACGGGAGGACTTGTCAACAGCTTGTGTCAGAATTAATATTCATTCCTATGTCTGCTGACTCCAGGCCTTTTCTCCCCACCATGCCAGAAACTAGCTCTCAAAACAGCAGTACATTTAGAAGAGACCACATGTACCTATTATGGTTTTATAGGAATGCTGGGTTTTAGCTTCTGAGTGAAAATGGCTAATTATCTTGGAGAAGGCAAACAGAAACATCATCTGAACTCTGTATTTGCTTAGGATGTTACTATTCTGCATTATTATTAGTTCCTCCCTTGGTACCAAGAAGTTCCTGAACCCTCTGGAATTGCATGCAAAACTATCTATGTGTGTGCATTCATTTTTCAAGACAGGTTTCCATGGCACTCATCTGATTTACAAGCAGACCCCAAAAGCTTAACAATCATTGCTATATTTAGCGTTGATCTTGAGGAAAATTGTTGCTACTTCCTTCCGCTAATAATTCCATATGCAGTGCTTTGTAACCCCAAACTACTGAGACCAGTTACACCAAAGTACTTGTGTTTGCTCTTTTAATGGCTGGTTATTTAATTTGTAAATAAAAATAACAGCGGGAGACTTCCTGAAATCGGTAAATAACAAAGGTGCCATGCCTTAAGGAGACAATAGGCACATAGACTCTTTATCACCCAGGAAGAGACATCTGAAAGGGATATAAATAGAATAATAGCTTTGATTGTTATTTTCCATTTTTAAAGATTAAAAAAAMCCAATAAAAATGAAATGAAGGGATCTCACAGTTAAGGGGGACAGGTCTGGATCGTCTGAGCAAGGGTGTTTATTTAGAAGCTTAGCTCAAGGGTTCATTTATAGATTGACCTATAGCAATTATCCATCAGGGCCCCTATCTTTCCCCATAATTTCTCTAATCCACACTCGGAGGAGTGGATGAAAGAAGGAAAGTGCTGTTTGTGAAAAATCCAGAGAGTATAAGAGGTCACTACTCTGTTTCCTGTATGGGAAATTCATGTCATGGGCCAGAGGCTACTGAGCACGATGGGTCCACATTCCTTGGCTTCAGCAAGGCCGAGCTGTATCCAGAAATGGTCAGGGAGCTCTGAGCCAAACAGGAAAACACAGCTTTCAATTAGGTGGCTGGTGACAGCCAGTGAAGACTGTCCCTCTGATAAAAGGAAAGATAAAGAGGCCAAGGAAAATGAAGGAGAGCACTAGAGCCTGGCTTCATTCCTTGTTAATTCCAGAACAATCTCGGGCCTCAGACCCATACGCTACCCGGGCCAGGGACAAGGCTGCTTCTTCCAAAGGAGTCGGCCTTTCACAAAGATGGTGCGATGGAAAATTAATTAATTAACTCAAGGGTTTGCCCTACATTTATAGATAACACTGTCACCCCTCAAGATGCAGATATCTAAGCCAATTAACAAGCCCAGGGCTCAAACAGACTTCTCCCTTTGGGAAGGATACGCTCCTGATCGTCCTTGTGGGCAATTAGGCGTCAACCTGATGATACAAAACAGGGAGTCACTTCAGGAGGCTGTCAAAGCCATCACTCTGACTCAGGATGGTTTCGGCTGGACACCTTGACTAGAATTAGGAACGTAACGACAACAAGGCTGTCCTCTTCCCCATTTGATATCTAGTTACCACACAACATGTAAAATAAACGCAGCAACCACCGAGGGTTCAAACAGAGCCTCGTTTTCCTAATGACAGCAACACCTACCATTTGTACAGCGCATTTACCTTCTCAAATTGCCTTCCTGGTCATTATCTCCTCATGAGGCTCCCATCGCTCATTACCATGTGGGGACACACTGCCGACAGCAGAGAAAGCTCTTCTCCGTGTCGCGGCACGTGCGGCCCACCGTCAGAGAAGCAGACATTTTCAAACCTCTCGGGCCAGAGTTTGAGGATCTCCAAAATCTGCCTCTCACCGGATCCTCATTTCCGGAACCCACCAAACTTGCCTCTTCTGTCTTCCTCCACAAAACCAGTTTGGCCATCTACACTGAGAGGAGCGCAGACTTGATGAGGGAAGTTGCCATGGCAACCAACGGCTAAATCTTGACTTTAAGAGGGGTTTCGTGCGAGCACAGGCTCCGACTGTTAGCTGTGAATTTTAAAGACCCCACAAGGGTGTTGGATGCCCTCCTAAGCTAGAAGTGTTACAGTCTCCGCATCTGCTGTGACAGATGGCGGGGAACACATGAGGCGCCGGCTCTGTGGTGGTATACACAGGAATCCAAGGGAGAGATGTGTCACGGCCACGGAGAAGGCTCTGCCAGGGTAGAGCGTGCCTGCAGGAGGCGCTCGGGCCTGCCCGCCACGGTAGGTTCAGGGTCTGGAGGCTGCTGCGCCCGCCTTGTGCCCAGTGCCCTGGAGAGGAATGGTGCCTTGATCTGCCTTGTATGTGGGATAGAGCCTTTGGTTATTTCCCACCCTACAGAGGAAGCACCGAGGTACAAAACTCGTGGGAGGATTAAAGAAATGACCTTGAAGCTGGGGCTCCTCAGGCAGGACTTGATCAATGCAGATCCAGTCCAAAAGCCCTGAGTCATCCTGCTTCAGGTAGCAGTTGGCTTTCATGAAGCGGAATTGGGTATGCTTCATCTAAAAAGGGAAGTCTCCGTCAGACATCCAGATTCGGGTAACATCTAACTGCTGATATTCCTCCCCTGTGCAGACATCGGGAAAGGGGTGGGTCCGGGGTCTTACAGCCCCACAGGACTCTGAGAGGGCAGGAGAGACGTGCCGTAGTGCATCCTGAAGGAAGCRCTTTAATGCAGCGGCACAGGTGCATTTGGAACAAGTGGGCAATCCAGGTGCAAGAACAAAATGGGGACSAGCTCTTCTGCCAAACTGGGTTCAGGTAGAGAGAGAAGCAGTGGCTTGGAGCAAGCAAAGGAGCAGAGGCTGCATCGTCTGGCAGCCAGGCCCAGGGCCCCTCAGCAGCTTTTCCCATCTCTASCTGGCTGGGTCTGGCCCATGAAAGACCTGGGACAGAAGAGATTTCAGTGAACATCTTGGATAGAGATTAAAACTTGATTTAGCTGGGAAGCCTGTGCTCCTTGCAGACCTATAAAAGCTACATATCTTGAAAAGGGCAATGAGGGTCCGTGGCCAGAATCAATGGGGCTGCGGAATTAAACAGGTGTGCGGAGCCTCCACAGCTGCCCATATGGCAGGACAAAGGCTGGCGGTGGAGCGGAGAAAAAGTCAYTGAAACCAGGTAGCATGTGTTTCCATAAAAACAAAACAAAACCGAATGGCAGGCGGCCCCAACAGAGACACTCAGAAACGGCAGGAAAAGTCAACTTCCAGCTGGATCCAGTGGGGGCATTGAGTCACATCTTCTTAGTGCTTGGTGATTATCCCAAATGACCAGAGCCTGGGAGGACCTGGGAGAGAATGTCACCGTGTGGCTGGCAAAGGGATTTGTCAGAGGGCTGCTGCTCTCAACGGCCACTTGGAAGGGGAACGATTCTTCTACCAGTTCCCTTCCCAGAGGCGAGCAGTGCAGGTGTCCTGGCCTGAGCAGTACGTCAGGCAGCCTGAACTTGAAGTCCATCTCAGCTAGTAACTAGCTGACTGATCTTGAGCCAATTAGTCAACATCTCCTGTAAAATGAGGGTAAAATACCATTTGCTTCTATTCTAAGGCTTCAGTTACAAAGGCTAARCAAAACCCAGGGCTTGACAGGGAGTGAGCGCTCAGTCAACAGGACCTATCCTGATTTTTATGGAAAATCATTTTCCCACACACATTCTCCGCTGGTCCCCACTCCCGACGMGGCAGGATGCGGGGACGATGGACCACGGTGCATTTTCTGATTTGTCATCAGGCTGCACCTAACTTAGGTACACCTGAGTCATCTAATAACCCCATGAGAGGACTCGTCACCAGATCACAACGTGTTATTGGTTGAGATCTGCTGGAAGAGGGTCACAGTGCTCAGCAGGAGATGAGAAATGGCAGGTAAATCCCCAGGGTATACCTGACGATTCTCAGACACCACAGAGTCTTCAGGTGAGAGCATTCGCTTGTGTCCACTCCGTTCCAGGCCCTGGGCTAAGAGCACACAGTCCCTCTCTCCCAGCGAGCATGTTGAAGCACGTAAATGTGGAGGGAGGTGCATGGAGAAGTCAGCAAGTATCCTCCACAGGATCCCAACCCATCTTCAGAGAGTCTGTAAACTGGGCTGGGGGCCTCTAAAGGAGAGGAGCTCGGTTTGCTCCTCTCCACCTTTTCTCTCCTCCTTGGTGTGTGTTTCTCACCGCAGTAAAATATCGCCACAAGCTCAGGGGTTCAAAACCGCATCGGTTATCATCTCACAGTTCTGAGGGCCAGAAGTGTGACGTGGTTTCATGGGGCTGAAGGGTGGGCATCTTCAGGGCTGTGCTCCTTTCTGGAGGCTTAAGAAGAGAATCCGTCCTCTGGCCTTTCCATCTTCCAGAGGCTGCCCACATCCCTTGGTTCATCCCTGGCCCCTCATCCTCAAAGCCTGCAATGACTGGGTCCTTCTACAGCAGATCACTCTCATCTCCCTGGCTGCCTTCCTCTTTCTTTTAAAGACCTTTGTGATTCCACTGGGATGACCCAGATAACCAGGAGAATCTTTCTGTCACCAAGCCAGCTGTCTGGAACCCTCCGGTCCCTGTGCGTCCTCCATCCTCCCCGGCCATGCAACAGAGCACATTCACAGATTCGAGGGATTCCTATGTGGACGTGTTGAGCAGTCCCTTCTTCTGCCTCCTCTGGAGCACTGTGCAGATGATGGGTAAACACAGAGCTCATTGGGGACAGTTGTAGGGCAGATGCCTGAGGGGAGCTCCAGGCACTGGAGGCTGCTCCTTTGCAGCAATGGAGCATCTGTGTTTGTGTGCTTGTTTATGTGCATGTGTGTGCGTGTGTGTGAAAAGTATACAAGTGCTCTTGCACAACCCTATATATCCATATGGGCAGACCCCTCGGCGTGGCTGGGAAAGCACATGTCCCAACACTCTGACATTTCCAAGTAAGCTAGCTGGAAGATTGCAAAAATAGCGTCAACTTGACTAGAAGCCAATTCCCACACTCAGCTCTTTGGAGAAGGCTCTAGGATGGAGTGTGGGAGGCGATAAAGTTTCTTACTGATGAGCGTGTGGGATGACCACATCATCCCATGTGCAGAAAGAAACAGGACGGGGCGGGAATGGAGGGGAGAGTCCAACTGCAGCATTAATGAAAATAAAACTTTGCAGCATCATTTCTCAGCTGTTACCCCGAATGAAGATGTTGCACCCTAGTTCTGCTGTGGGGTTTGTATTCTTATTTTTAGCCTTTCTCCTTGGTTCTCCAGTTGGAAATTCATCAGTCGTCAAATATTCAGGGGAGAGGCTTCCCGAAGTCATCTTTAGTAARGATCAGAAACGGGACATCTGGAAGGAATGGAGGGTTGAAGGGAGAGCTCAGCTGCCGACAAGCAGCTTCCTGGCACAGGGAACGAACGGCAGTGCTCAGTAATGGCTGTTGCTTAAATGGTTTTGAGTGACAAATATGTTGGGTCTGACATGTCTGGGGAAATTAAGCAACCCTTCCTAATCCCACTTCTGCTCTGATTTCATGATAGATTAAACACAGACTCTCGCTGTAGGGAGCCACAGGACTCTGGGCAAGTCATGGAACTTCTCGAAGAATCCAAATGTTGATGTCAAATAAAGAGGCGGTTTATATCTGAGATCCCTAAAAACACACGACACCGAAGCCCTTCTTTCCACGTGCAGTTGTGGGTGCTTCCTCTTCTTTGAAACCCAAGTGGAAGCATCCAAGGTTCTCTGGAGATCATGCTTCTCTCAGAAGTGAGTTTAACAGCTAAGATTGTCCCAAATCCTCCTAATCCAAACCAGCTGGAGAGTGCGGGTACCAGAGCCTGGCTCAGTTGCATGGAGAGGCTCCACCTCGAGATGAGCTCTTTTTAATTTCTTCTGAGCACACTAGCTTTGGGCATGGTGCACAGCCCATCTGTTTGGTTTGGTGTTTGCCTGACAGCGTGGGCAGAGCAGCAAGTAAGCAGTCTTAGACATCAGATGTTTGAAATGCTGTACTTTCTCTTCCATATGGGGGCCTAGAATCTCTGCGATGGGCCCACATTAAATAACTCTAAAATCTAAGAACATGAACTTCAGATGTCTCAGTTACCTGCTGCTCTTCCAAAGAGATGTAGCATTGGATTACAATAGAAATGAGGGTTAGGTACCTTAGACTCAATCATCAGTGAGAGTCTTTCACCTGGGTACCTGAAGAAGGTGCATCTGCATGTGTGGGTCCATGTGTGTGATGTGGGGGCTGCATCATCTGGTGGGTGTATAAATAGTTTGACCCTGCCCCCAACAACCCTATCGCTTTTCTTTGCTTAAAGGTATCATAATACTTCTTTGAGAAAGATCAATCCTGGTACTCAGGGTACTAGAAACAGGTCTTGGTAAAGACGACTGCAGATGAACCCCCTTCCACAGTGAAAGTACAGAGCAATCGGGAATCAGAGGTCTGTGCTCCTGGACGCACTGGAGCTCAGGGTAACGTGGCTGTCCCTGCTCATGCCACGTGGGCATGCAGGCCCTCACACAGAGATGCCCCAGTCCCATCTGATGGTATGGCAGAATTAGAGATGCTCGTAATCTTTTCCAGGAATCCCTCTCTAACATTTATCCAAAGAAGACAATTTGCCATGTGCCCCGCATTTATGTGGAAAGATGTTCATTTTAATAGTATTTATAAAAATTAAAAATTTAGAGCATCCTAAATGTCAAATAATAGGGAACTATTTAAATGAGCTATGATATAGACAGACAAAGGATACCAAATGGCCATTAAAATGATACTATTCAGGATTATTTCATATTCTGGAAAACTCTCATGATGGAACATTAAGTGAAGAAAAGCAAAAACTCCCCTAGATTTAGTATGCTTCTAGGAAGCCTCAAAGAAAAAAAAATCTATGAGAGGAGGGATTGGAAGGGAAGACATGAACATTTCAAAAGTGATTTATCGAAGAGATAGAAATATAGTTGACTATCATTTAGTTCTCTAAGAAAATTTTCCAAATTTTCTATAATAAACATGCATTAATTTTCTATCTCGATGTATTTGTCCCCAGCAGCTGAGTGCCACTGACTGCAGGACAGAGTATGGAGTTCATCCTAAACTGGTCTTTCTGGAGTGGGGCTACAGTGAGGATCCTGCCAAGGCTTTGGCAAGGTGACCGCACAGCTTGATGTTCAGTGGCCCCAAGACATGCTGGCAGCTGGTATGGTCCAGGCTCGGGATGACAATGGGACACTGGAGTTGGGAGTCAGGGTCTGAGTTTCGAGGGAAGGACTGCAAAAGACACAATCTCTCTGACAGTTACCCGCTGCCCGGTGCTCCTGCCTACCAGTTTCGGGGTCACATTGATGTTCACAGGGGTCCAGGAGCCGCCGGGCACAGAGGTCCATGGCCCAGGGCCCACTGGAGTTCTGCTGAGAGAAGAGCACCACTTGGGCAGGGTTCAACCAATCACTGGCATCCAGCTGGCTGCCCTCCAGCAGGATGAAGCGGCTCCCTGCAGGGAGACAGAGAGGAAGCGCATCTTAGGTGCACATACAATACACCCTCAGTCACTGAGGCAGAGTGAGCCCCAGTGGCCCAAGATCATTCCTCCCACCACTCCTAGCCCAGAGCAAGGGAGCAGCAGATGGACTGGCCGTCACGTGGACTGGTGTGAGGCCAGGGACATTCGGCCTTGAAGCCATATCCCCCCACCCCAGTATCTTGCCCTATCCCATCTTGCCAGAGTGTTCCTAAGTGATAAGGGACGAGCAGCTCTGTGCTGGCCATGGCATGGCTCCATCAGACCCAGCCATAGGCACTGGCACTGGTCCAAGGAAAAGGGACCCGCTGCCTGTCTTCACGTGCCATGAAATAGCAGGCCCTCTGACACTGCGAGCAGTCCCCACCTGTTTCCAGCCTTACAGCAACCGCGAGAGCAGACATTAACAAGTCAATTAGGTGCTGTGGGCTTAAATGACTCAGGGACTCTCAGAACCTGTATTACTCCCTCATTATATTGGGGTCCCCCTGGATGGAAGTAAATTATTGCTTCCGAGTTCTCGGCTTATAGCAAGTTACGGCAATTAGGAATTTCTCACCTGGGCAAAGCAAACCCAAGCATGGCTAATCCTTAAACACCTCTAGTACTCTACTGAGCTTTGCCAAAGGCTGAGAGAGTCCTGATGTCTGCCTACCTGTAGCCACGGTAGCTCTGCATCTCTCTACAAAGACAGAGGCTTATTTAAAAACAACAGAAAGACGGTGGGTATGAGAAGTGCTCTTCTCAGTTTGTTTTTCAACTTGCTGTCCTAGTTCATCTGTGGGCAATCCCATCTTGTCCTACATCTTCCTGTTCGGGTTTACTGCCCCCCACATYTGCAGGAATAGGGAACAGTGGCCCTTGGCTTCTCTTTCCTCTCCCAACGGAAAACCTTCCTCTCGGGGGCAGGAGGTCACCTTCACGGMAGAATGAGCTCACCATCAGCAATCAGGTGCTCGGGAACATGCAGCGTGATTTTGACAACGAGAGGGCAGCTGACGTGAGAGGAGCACACSAGGCTGATGACACAGCTGGTGATACTGATCAGGGTCAAGGTGGTCTTGTTCACAGGACTCCGGGGAGAACCCACTAAAAGGGAGACAAAAAGAAAACACGGTGGTAAAAATCTTGGCATTGAAAGTCCAACTTGGCTTTTTGTGGTCCCACGTGGGAAACAGGGGAGGAAGTTGGCAAACATAATCTGCAGCAGGTGAGAAATGTCCCCAGCTGCCTGACCTCAGTAAACTCCATTCTCAGAAACATCGTGTGTCATCAGGGCAGGAGGCAAGTCGGCCAACTGGTGGCCCTCAGGGTCAACTGTGGCAAGCTGGTGGCAAATCCTTTGCACTTTGCCTGGGCCAGGTCCACAAGAGAAGTCCTAACTGGGGCATCTCTTCTTCTACTTGCCTGGCTGAGCTCCAAGTTCTTGCCCAAGGAGGCAGCCATGAGCTCAGCCCACCTTGCACTTCCGTCGCTGTCCACAGARGGCACTCTAGAAGAGGCCCAAACTCCATGGTGCAAAGGGAAGGGCTTCCTGGGCTGGAAGAGCTTGTGCTTTCTCTATGGGTGACCCTTACTACCAGGTGACTTACTATTCCATGCCTGGACTGAGGAAAACAGGGCAACTCTGCTCCGGAGGAGTGGATGATGTCACACAAGAAAGCTCCCCACATTCCTGCAATCATTGGAGGGGATGGTCATTGCAGGGGAAGAAGAAGCACTCCTGGGTGTCACACTCCTGGGACTGGGAAGGAGGGGGTTCGTTTTTGTTTATTTTGTGGTTTGGTTTTTTTTTTTTAATATTTTTAATTTTGGTTGGGAGGTGGAAAGAATAGAATGGAAGTGAGCCGAGGAGGTATTTTTTATGTGGGGGGCAGAATAGATGTGAGCAAGTTGACAAAACATATAGATCCTTTGGAATTTTCTTCTGTTCTATGTTGATAATTTCTTATTAATAGCAATAAAGCACATCCTTTATGGTAGACACTCTGCTGGGTTTCACACACATGATTTTATTTTTAATATCTGCTTCCTTACCATACACCTAGAAGTCTGCACAGTAATGACCTACTTWATAGAGAAGGGGAGCAAGTCTCTAAGAGATGGGCCCCATCACAACACTTAGGAAGTGGTGATTGCCAGGGCTGCACATGGTTCGTATCACTGAATGATGGCCAGGTAAATACTATGAGGCAACTCCCACTGCGGAACAGAGAGTCAGAGAGGCTTCAGGGCAAGTCCAGGGCTGAGCATCTATAAAGGCGCRGAGCTGGGATCAAAGCACAGACCCAGCCGAGGCTCCAGCCCACAGGAGTGATGTGCTGTTCCTTCTTGGGCTAGGAGGAGAGCTATGAGGGCAGCAGGAAGCCTCTGGTCCCTGTGTCCCTGCTAGTTGGAGGTATCCTATTCATGCTGGTATCCTTCCAGAACGGAGTTCATCTCCCCACCCTTACAGATCTCCAGCCCAGCCCAGCTTCAGCAGTCGATCCACATCCAGAACATCCCTCGGCGATAAAACGAGGCACGTCCACACCTGGAMTTGCCACCATGTCTCAAGCCCTGTCTGCTCTCACTTCCATTGCCCAGCAAATGGCTGTCAAACCAGCTTGATCTCACAATTCTGAAAAGCCCATCATTTCTAACTCTTCTCTCTTGAGCTCAAGCCACCCTCCCGCCAACCATGCTATTAAATATTTCAATTTTCATTTTTGGGTCCCAAATTTCCCTCACTTCCATTCTCTTCATCTCTTCCTACCCCTGYCGTCTGTACCAGCATCATGGCAGTAGCCATCCACCTGTCTCTTGCCCACCCCACCTAATGACCACATTGTCCCCAGAAGGATCCTTCACTAAGCAGAGCTGAGCAGGGCAGCCCTCTGTAAATGCGCCCAGTGATTCCAGCTGCAAGGGCAGGCCCAAGCCCCTCYGAGTCCAGGCCACGTTCTTCCTGGCCTCTGCTGACCTTCCAGCTTTCTTTCCTAAGCAACTGTACTCAAAGTGTAATTCTAATAAACTATCTGCTGCTCTCAGTCTAGAACATCATCCTTTATGTCTCAGTGACTTTACACATATTATTTCCTCCTCCACAGAAGGCCATTTTGTCACCTTGTCATCCCAGTACACACCTACTCTTCAAGTCTCAGCTCAAACAATATCACTCTGTAAACACTTCCCTGAATCCTTCAAGAACAGATTCTCACTCCTTGTTCATCCAGCCCTGGGTGCACCCTGCTGTTACAGCTCTTATCGCGCAGTGTGGCAGTGTCCTCACTGTTTACAGGCACTTGCCATTGCTCTCTGTGACTGCGATAACTTGCTGACATTCTCCACTCACTCCTGTGTCTGCCCCATCAAGTCAGAATCCGGCATCCCTACCTGGCTTCCTTATTTGCCCACAGAAGCAAGTGCCAACCCAGTCATGTGATGTGTGTGCACGGTTCTTTGGTAGCTAATTTGTTCTCTAGCCTCATCACTACCACCCCAGCAGGTTTATGTTTACATCCTACCTARGGCTACCACATTGAATTTTATTTCCTTGGAAAAACCATCTTCTCTTGTGCCTTCGAGGATCTTCATGTGCTGTCCTCCTCTTCTGAAATGTTCTTACTCTGTACTCTTCTGTTTTAGGAAGTCCAACCCAATTTATATATCCCCGTTCTAATTATTTCCTTCTTGGTTGCCTCCAACTGCTGCCAGGCAGGATTAACTATTCTCTCTTCTAAGTACTCATTTTGCTTTATTTATACCATTAAATGGAACCTTATCATTGTGCCATGTTTTCATGTTTCTACCACCTATCATAAAGCCTGACCCATAGCAGGTAGGTTTATAAAATGTTTTTGCTGGTCTGATTGATGTTTCCAGTCCAATTAAACAAGCACTTACAAGCATGCATTAAAAGCAGAATCCTTTACTAGACACTTCCAGAAAATAATTAGGCGTGTTCCACCCCTAAGATGCTTACAGTCTAGTTAACAGCAATAGATGGTTGATGCACTAAGGAGAGTTTGACATTAAAAAGAAAGAATTTTATGCTGCTAAGGAGTGTATTCTAAATCATCATCATGGATTTTCGTAAATAAGATTTTATGAAAGAAGGACACACCRTTTGGATGTGGTGGCCTAGATTGGACAGGCTCAGGTTGAGTACCTGCTCTATAAATACACAATGAGGAACAAGGGAGAGGGTGATGCCGTCATCCATTCTCAACTCAGGGAAACTGAGGCTTGCTTTGGGAGCTAAGCTGCCCAAACCCCATTCATATATTCAGGAAAATGGTGAGAAACTTAATGCTAATGGTGTGAAGCCTATAGAAGCCAGAATTTAGAATTAAAAGCTTCTTCCMGTCTCTGGAAAGAATGCCCCCTGCATGGAGAGATTGAAGTGGAAGAAGGACTGAGCCCAAACATACGTCTTCTGGGGGTGTTGGTTAAATACTGTTTGGGAAAATGCTCATGAGCATAGCACAAAGTGATGTCACTCATCCTTCCTTACATCTCAAGAGGAGTTTGTCCAAGGTTTTAAGATGGGGCACCACAGAAACCTGAGGTTGCACAATGGAGAGATGGAACAGCAGCAATAGGGATTTCACAGTGCTTTAGCAGCTGCCCCAAACCCCACCCTTTAATATAGTTCAATCCTGACAGTGGCCCAATATGTGAGGTATTGTCAACCCACTCCGACCCTCAGAGAAGCTGGCGCCCTTCTCCAGCATCACACAGCAAGTGAAGCAGGACGCTCACTAGTGTTTGAGCACACAGCTCCCTCGGAGATGGTGGTGACACCAGCCAAGTCACAGACAGTGGCAGCTGCAGCTGCAGCAGTCACATCTCGAAGCGCTAAACAGCAGTGCCGAGTGGCTGCTTAGAAGGACAGCTCTGTCACTGCCAATGACAAAGAATTTGCCACCTAAATTCTGCCAGGAGGGAAGAGAGGCCTAAACCTAGACTATGATAGAGCCTACTGGGTCGGGAATTAAAGGTCAAAGAAAATCACACATTTTTCAGGCTGTAGGATTCTTCAGCTACTCTACCCCCAACCCCTGCCTAGCTCAATCCCCTGGCTAATAGGGCTGAGCAAACTAGGTGCAGGACTGCTGTGGTTTGGATATGGAGTGCCCCTGAGAGATCATGTATTAGCTAATGCCGGGATGTTCAGAGGTGAGAGGATGAGATCTGTAGGAGCTATATCCGGATCTGTGGGTTAATCCACTTGATGCACTGGGTGGTAACAGTTGGGGTGTGGCTGGAGGAGGTGGGTCCCTGGGGGATGTGCCCTTAGGGTTCATATTCTGTCCCTGGACCCTTTCCCCCGCCTCCCTAATGAATGCCATGAGCCGTCAGTGCTCTGCCACACCCTTTGGTCCTCAGCCTCACCTGACTCAGAGCAAGGGAGCTGACCAACTGTGGACAGAATCCTGCGAAACTGTGAGCCCCAAATAAACTTTTCCTCCTCTGAGCTGTTCTTGTCAGGGATTTGGTCACAGCAACGAGAAGCTAACGCGGGGACTATGCATATTTTCCACATATAACACAATTTATCAACTTTATTTCTTTCCTCTGAACACCCAAATATGACTCCTGAGGCTTCCAGAAGGAATTGAGAGTCTTCTGACCAAGAAATAGCCTTTCAAACAACTTGGAAACTTGTTTGAGAGTGCCATTATCTGGGAGAGATGATTCTCTGAAAATTTCCACTCTAGGCTCTTCTTTCTTCCTCAGAAGGAAACACCAGGCCTGGTCCCAGAATTCTTGCTGCATTGACTGGCTTGGCCCCACCTTCCCTCTGCCTGCACCTGCACCGCCCCCCCTCCCATCCCTCCTACCTCGACTGCGCCTCCGGCTGCGAGAGGGATCCGTGTAAAAGGTCAGCTGAGGGTCGTTTTCTGCCTCTGTGCCAGAATCCCCTTCAGGGTTCAAGAAGGCGGAACCGGCTGAAATGAAGCACAGGCAAGACAACATTTTCAGTTTTTCCTTTCTGACACCACGTCACTGGGGAAGTTCAACAGAAAAATCGATGAATCTGAGAGCAAGTTGACTGGCAATCTGGAAGAAGCAGCCAGGGACAGGGGCTTCCTGATATCCACGACTGTGAAGATGTGGAAAAGTAGTCCTCACTGGAGTCCTGCACCCCAGAAAGAGGCAAAGGGTTTTTAGTTCTTCCTTAAAATGGMATTCTGCTCTATCTTCTCTTTTATAACTTCATTTTTTTCTCATTAAATAGACGAGTGGGCAACTTTCCATATGAACAAATATAGATCTTTATTATCATTTAAAATGACCGTACAGGAAGCTACTGGTCAGGAGACAGATGTGCCAGGTGGTTAACCAATTCCCTGTTGATGGACATTTAAGCTCCTTTTGATTTCTCCCTTGGCCTCTCTTTTACATACCTCTTTGCACCCTCATCCAATTGCTTCCTAAGCACAGGTTCCTATTGTGGAAACACTTGGTCTAAAGGTTTGCATATTAATCTTTTTTGGGGAAAGTGACACTTAGCTGACTTTCAGAAGGCTGAGCCAGGGCATATGCACTCAGTCACACATGAGATGAGGGTGAAGAGTATCCACAGCCCCTCTCTGCCCATGTGCAGCCAGCTGCCTGCAAGCCCCAGCTCCAGGTGTGGATACCTCTTGCTTTGCTGTTGATCCGCTTTCTCTGGCTACTGGACGTGTGAGAGAGCAGGGTGGCCTGCTGGTGGTTGGAGTCCACGGGGCTCGTGGCAATGATGTTATCTTTGTACTTGTTCATCAGCGACAGCTTGGCATTGTCACTTCCTGTATAGAGAAAAGTCGAGGCAAAAATGTTAGCGACCTGAAGAGCATGAGAGCAAGCAAATCTGCATGAACCAAGTAGATGAGGTTTCACAGAAATGAAATAAGGAACTGCAAAATGAGAGACTGGCAGAAACTAAAATTCTCCTCTTTGATTTCTAGGGGCTACGGAATTGGGAGGAGTGAAGTAAGAGGATTACAACTGAAAATCCAATTCAACTAATTCCGTATTGATAAGTTCACCGCTTGTCACCCTTTGGTTACAAACTGACTGCAGGGACAGTACAGAATTGCCAAATAATTTGAATTTGTGTGCTTTCGGGAAGAACGTGCCCTATCTTTTTTATCACAGTCTATACCATTCTCTATTTTCTGACCTCCAGATCCTATTGTGTGATCTGTCCGCCCCTTAAAGGCACCTGAGTTTGTAACCCTGAGTACCATAATGGCTACTTGGTGGCCTCAGCATTATGCTAGATGCTGTGGGGAATAATAAGAGATGCTGAGGACACCCCCCTCCCCGATCTCAAAGAGTTCTCAGACTTCAAATCTCATAAGAAATGGATATTTTCAGGGTTGGAGATGTAGCTCAGTGGTAAAGCCCTTGTACAAAGTCCTGGGTTTGACCCAATACCACAAAAATTAAAAAAATATAAATGGAAATGCTTGTTAATGTAGAATTACCTCTAGATAACAAGCAGAATTTCCATTTTCCTCTATCTGATTTCACTTTCAATCCCCACGGAAAGATTCTGTATCATAAGCAGCATGCAGCATCAAATATGTCTTTCACGAAGATAACTGGGCAGTGCCTTGAACGATCACTGTCAAGCCTTTATCTATGGGGATGTGCTTATTCATAGCATTGTGAGAGAGAGAGACGGGGGGCTACTGTAAAAAATAGTCCTTCTCTCTCTGCATTTTCATTTTTGACCCTGATCTTATATTGGATTAAGTCTAAGTCCCACCAGTGTCTCTGTACATACACAAAGCATCTGAGGTCTGATACCTTGACTACATTCCTTCATTTTCTTTGAAAAAAATACATCCTCTGTAGAGACCACAGAAGCATGGACAAGATAATACAACTAAACCACCCCAGGCCAAGTCTTGGGGGTCAGAAAAGAGAACAGATAGCACTGTCCCTTCCACTGTATTGGAGAATTAAATTATCTATGCACATATATGATATTCGAAAAATATCATATATATGGTTTTCCTTATGGTTACCTTACTTCCCAGAGGGTTGCTCATTACACACTGAACAGGCACTAACTCGTTCCTCTGTTGGATGCAAAGGTACCTCTGCTTCCAGTGCAAGGAGGAAGTGGAAGGGGTCCAATTTACACTGCTCTTCTGATTTTCCAGATTAGAAAATAGCTCCGGACATCTCAGGAAACAGACTGTTTCTGCCCACCCCGGGAAGGGGCATTGGCACATTCCACCTTGTAACACAAGCAGCTGTTGCCAAACAGCTGTTCCTACCCACTCTGGGGCTCCCTGAGACCGAGGACCACACAGCGCCTGCGCTCACCCCCACCTGGTGTGAGGTCCATCCCTGTCTTCTCATTGCAGCCCTGCAGGGAGTCCAGGGTGCGTGTGACCTGGCTGGCGAAGTCCTCCCCTCCGTTCATGCACTCCCTCTGCAGGTGGTGGCGCAGGTCTGTGATGTCGTACTCATAGCCATCCAGGATGGGTGTCTCCCGGATGCTCAGCGTGCCGCTGGAGTTGTGGCCCTGCACGCGGGCATTGCGCAAACTCTCCCGCCCGTGGCCCCCGATCAGCACCGAGGGGATGTAGTGGATCTCGTTGGCCGCCTCCGCGCTGGCACTCTTCTGCGGCTGGGGGACCCGGCGGCGTTTGCACCAGCGCCTCCGGGTGTACAGGATCATCACCAGACACAAGATGGACAGCAGCAGAGCGATCATGCCTCCCTGGGAAGAGAGGACAAGACATGGATGCGGGAAGATGGGTGGGCTCTCTCCACTAAGAGCCCTTGCTCCTTCAGCTATAGGCATTCATCAGTCACTCGCTGGCACTTTCAGCATCACTCAGCAACAAAAGGACAGTCTGCTGTGACCAGTGGCCAACATGAGAGGAATGGAGCTGTTGTGGCCAGTGTATCATTTCAAGGGATCTGGTTGCTTTTGGCTTAGCAAACAATTAGAAGAAGAAGAAAAAACAAAAGTCTTTGGAGCTGTGTGTGTGAGAGGTTCTAGCAGCAGAAGATGAGAGGGAGATTTTTTTTCCTTAAGGCCAATCTGCAATATGTATACCTGACTTAAGGCCCTTTTTATTTTAGCAGTATGGAGTATGGGGTGGTATCTAGTTTCCTGTCTCATATTGAACAATCCATCCCAGGTGGGTTCTAACTCTGGATCCACAGATCAATGAGCCCTATAAATCCTAAACCTCAGCTTCCTCCTCAGTAGTATGGAGGAGATGCCACTTCACCACCCAGGGTGGTTGCAAGAATTAGGTTAGGTAACTATGCAAAGTGCCTGACACAATACATCACAAACAATCAAGGCTGTTCTCAGCATCACCTGAAATGTCTCGGCCTGAATGACTGGCCCAGCAGGGAAAACCGCTGTGAGTCCAGAAAGAAATTTACATCCATCAGGAACTTGCTGCCAGCGTGGGGAGAAATCACACCATCTGAATGTGACTTTTGGACAACTTCTTTTGACTAATTACACTGTCCTGAGTGATGCTCCCCATTCCTGCCTGACCCTGCTAAGGGAAGGGACTGAGACCCACATCCTGGAGTCGGGCTGGCAGAGGACTTTCCTTCTGAGCCTGTTGGTGCTCAAAGGTCACCACCTTGGAAGCCATTCCTTACAAGTCGGTATGTCACGCAGTTGTCTGTCAGAGGCAAAGACATAGTACTCAGTGAGATTGAGCACCTTGCCTTGACATCCACCTGGGGCAGGTTCGAGGAGGGCCTTCCAGGCCTGTTCTTGCACAGAGCACGGCAGGTGTAAATCTTCCTGTGCACAATCTGTATTCACCCCCTTTGTGTTGGTCAATATCCCTTCAAACCTATTTCATTAGACCAGGGTGTGCCAAATGGTTCTCCTCTCAACCTTGGGTTTCAATCACTGCCACCCTGTTGTGCAGGGTAGAGATGAAAATCCCCTATTAATTCCCAGAGGCCCACCCACACAAGGATGGGTCAGGAGTACTCCCCCAAACACATTAAAGGAGGCCTTTCCAGTCTTATAATAATTATATTTTGGATTTATAAAGTTCCTTTCCCAGTAAATCTTCCTGTTTAACCTCTCTCTCCTATCATCACTGTGAGCAAAGGGACACACACACACACACACACACACACACACACACACACACACAGAGCCACTTTCAAACAGGCTTCACAGAGGAGCAGAGACTCAAGCCAACAGAGTCAGCTGCTGAGAGACAGGCCATATCAGGTGGCTTGTTGGGGCAGATACGACCTCCTATTTTTCAAATCTGTCTTTTATCTGGAAGCTCTTTCCTCCTGGTGCACTCTCTCATGCAAATGCAGAAAAAGAGGAAATAGGTTCAGCTAAATTGGGTGGCAGTGCAAAGACAAGTACTGAGGTCCACGCTAACTGCCACCTGTCCTGCCATCCATCCTGGACTCCCTGCAGACATACAGAGCACCCTGGGTCCCTGCAGAACCCTGACTTAAAGACACAGCACCTTAGTGCTGCCTAACCAAGCCCTGCACAATCCAGTGACCATGACCAGTGGTTTTCAGCAGAACCTTTATCTCAGAATCAGATCCACTTTCCTTTCCCTCACCCTAAATTGAAACTGTGACAATAGGTAATTAAGCCACCAGGAAAGAATAACTTCCCAGCTGAAAGAAGTTGTCAGACATTAAATTAGGCTACTGAAAACCAKAGGTAATTTTATTCTCTAAAGAGCTATAAGGGCAGCATAAACATCAATCTCCAAGGAATGGCTTAAACACCACGTTTCTGGTTCACATAGGGGTTCAGGGAAYCCCTTGTACTCTTCCTGTCGACAAGCTCCTTTCAGAGGTCACAACAAAGTTATGATGGGATCCGGGCCAGAGCTTCTTTCCTACTAAAACACAATAATGAAACAAGAATACCTGTCTGTAACTGGGCACTTCCTATGTATCAGATATTTGTCCAAAATGCTCTGCACTTTCCATCTCTAAGAGGTAGTATCAATTTTCCCCATTTTCCATTTGAAAAGGCTGAGGCAAAGAGGTGAAATAATTTGCCCGAGGTCACACAGCAAATGGCTAGTGGGTCTGGAAAGGAGCACAGTGACTCATTTCGGAGCCTACATTCTTAACCACTAGGTGCAGTTGCGCTGAATGGACTCTGTTGGCAGGAATCCTGTCCATCATGACATTTACTTCAAAAACCAGAAGAGGAGGGATTAGGAGAGAGTGGATGATTTCACCCCTTCTATCCTCTCTCAAAGGAAAAAGAGAAACTAGTCAAAATGCACACTGGGTCAAAAGGGAGTCCATCATAAACAGAGGGCCTTCTACGGAGCACTCACTAAGTATCCAAATCCAAGGCCAGTTTAAAAAGGACTCTGGCATCTCATATTCTCCACACTAGAGCAAGACGAAGTGCATCACACATCACTACATGCCTAGAAGACACTATTAGGCCCTCAATTTAGCTGAATTTCGACCAAGAAATGCATGCACTCTTCAGCTAAGATACCCTCTGAAAATCCTTTTCTGAGGCAGAAACCAAGGCTCAGAGAAACCCCAGCTAGATGGTGTGGAAGCCGTGCTCACCGGCCTCCCTCACCACTCTGCCATATTGTTAGGGTCGTCACATTTCCCTTTACCACGAGTGGAGCTCAGATACTCAGTTAAAATGTCTACGGTTTACTGTTGAAAAAAATCCTAAGTAATAGGAAGCTGGAATAATACAGAGTTGGTTCAGCAAAGTGGTTGCATTTAGGTTCTCTAATCTTGCTTTAGTGAAATGTGTCCTCTGCTGAGAGCCCAGGACTCCTGACCACCAGCTACCAGTAAGGAGCTCTAGCCTATTGGTGGAACTCAGCCCAGGCGTATGGAAATGAATTCTCAGCTACTCAAGTAGTGCTATCTGGTTCCTCTCCTATGACCCAAATTGGTGACAGGTGTCACAACAGTTTGCAATGACTTATTAATTGTGGTTTATTATGTAAATAATAATATGCATACCATAACATTATCTAATATTAATATGTAACATAATTTAGTGAAAATATTTTGTAATAATCATTTATGATATCACCATACAAATTCATTTGAAATACTTACTTGCTCTACCCAGATAGAAAACAGAAACATGTAGGTCTTTGCCTGTGTCAGTTAAAAGCATGGGTCCAGTCCCCTCAATAATGGTCCTTGTTCATAGAGGACTTGGAAAAATCTAGTGTTCTATTAATTATTATTATATTCCTGTGATATACCACAGTTATTTGTCATATTCCTTATTTTTAACTCTTCTACTTCCATAGATTTTAAGCAGTTTCAAGGAAAGCCACGGATGTCCTAGGTATTTCTTTTCAAAGAATCTAATGAAACAAAGAAGTAGCTGATGAAAACGGAAAGAGCTGTATGTAGGTCAAGGGCTGTACCTGGGACCTTCCTAATAACCAAGTCAAAAAGAGAAAGGCGAAATGCACACATCTGTTCATATGACATGAGAAAGGTTTGGGGGAGGAAGAAACTTCCTCCAGCATCCGAGTCCAAAGAGACTTCCGCCAGAGTCCACCCAGGACCAGGCTGTCCAACCTGGGCAGCAGCAGCACGCCAAGCCCCAGGGAGTGGGTGAGGAATTCTCAGCCTGCCCACACCTCTCTCAGTGTTTCTGGATCACCCTCGCTGTGTTTAGGGTGTATTCTTTGTTATTTGTGTTAACTTCAAATTTTACGGCACTGCAAAATAAAACATTAGGGTGCATCTGGATTCAGATAACAAGCTGCAAACCTCCAAGATTAAGAAAAAAAAATAAGACTGATGGCAAGATATAGAACTGTTTTGCTTCTTATTCATCTTTGCATGAGTTTTCTGATTATTCTATTGATTTTTCTCAAGACTGTTAACATTTTGTAACTAGAAGTGCATTGGGGGTATATGAGAGCTCCACATCTATTAACAAGTTTCTTGCCCCCCCAAAAGCAGCATTTTAAAATATATTTTTTCTTTAAAAATCAATAAATCATTTCAACTGGCTTTAATAGAGATCAGACAAATAAAATCAGCTTTTATTTTATTAGGGAATCGACATTTTCGGCTCTTACCTGAGAGAGTAATATGAGCTTTGTCAGACCCTTTGTAGATTTTGGAATTTTTATGTAACAATGTTTTCTATAACACTGATGGTAGTTGCCCAGGGATGGAAAACTCTGGCCGGATTTCCCTTTTCTGTTTTTCCCAGTTGGGGGACCCAATTACAAGACTGCCTCGTGTTCACCTACACATTCACCCAGGTCCCAGGTCATGTCTCTCCTACTCATTCTTCAATGTCACACAGCCTCGGCTGAGTCCCCTCGTCTAGCTGTACTGTCTGCAGATCCTTCCACACAACAAAACACRCGTACCCCTACCTTTGATTTGCTCGTCAATCGCATCTATTAGACYCTAGACTTYGCAAGCTTCATGTCTGACAAATCTCTTACAGCTCCAGGGTCAATCCTAGTGCCTGACAWAAAGCAGACGGTCGGGTCTGTTGTTTGTGGAAGGAAGGAAAGGAGGAAGCAAGGAGGGCAGGAGGGGGGAAATTCCTCACCTCTGAGCACATTTCAGTAAGGATGTCTTCTGTGTGCCTGCAAGCTAAGTCCTCTGCTTAGGTGAGTCATTCTTACAATTCATTACTAAGTTCTTCAACAAGTGTTTGCGGATACCGGCTTTAGAGAGGCATTTTTCTAGTGGTCACTGTGATGGAGATGCTGAATAATACAG